TGAATGATGTGTTCCGACCCAAGCACAGGTTAGGGTTCAAATACCGGTATCACGGGGTATGTGCGATGCGATGCAATAATCGTGAACAAGCTTCCTGCGATCACCGGCAGTTGCGTTGTCTGCCGCAGAAGAGAGTACAAAAGGCTCAGGCGGGGGAACATGTAAGTATGAGAAGAAGGCAAGAAAACTGCTAACCCGGGCGGCCGGAACGACAGTGTCCGCTCCTTCATGAACCTGGGGCTTCCTCGCGATTCCGCCCGCAACGTTAGCCGATGAATGAGCCACCGATTGGGGGACGGGAAGGCACTTCCAGAATCGTGGAAAATGGATGGACAAGAGGAGTGAGTGGGCAGAACAACCCCTGCGAACAGCTCGCATTTACCGTACACTCGCACCTACTCGTACATCGCGAAAGTCGTAGAGTGGAGTGAAGGGGTAATCAGCCTCGGCGGTGGTACTGTAGCCTCTATCATGGCATGGGCAGATGTGCGCAAAGTGAATATCCCCGCCGTGTTACCGTCTGGTGTGGAAGAAAGTTTTTATCTGCTCCCCACGAGTTGTTCCTCTCTCTTTCCCTGCCTCTGCATGCAGATTTCTTTTTCTCTTGGCGATAGTGTACCCGAGTAGCCAGTTTTTTTTTCCCAAATTCGCCAGTTCTCGCCCGTTACCTTCCTACCATCGATTACTTGATCATCGCGAGGAACCCGCCTAGAATCAATCATTCTTTTCGCACCTTGCCCCTCTGAACGCTCGATACTTGTACCTCTGGTGGCGAGGGGGTGGCTATCCCCCCGTTTTTAAAGCATTCGCTATCGGCATACAAGTAGTACCTGCGTGCCGTGCGGTAACCATTCGGAAAGGCACTCGAGTGCTCGAGTACCGTTACTGCAGTTATCTCGAGTAGATGAGGGCGGAAACCATTTGCGCCCCATTCGTTACTTACTCGTACTTGTACTCGAGTACTAGTACCGTACGAGTACCGTAGTGGATTTAACGATTTTTTACGGTAAATCAGTGCCTGGCATAAATTCATCTGTGTTCCCGCAAATGCTCATCACACCGTTCTCAACTAATGCTCATCGAATTGGAAGGGAGCTTATCCTGAGCACCGGTAGACTAGTTAGTTCTATGAAGTTCGTTTCCCAAAAAAACCCAAATGCAACTGCGGAGCGTTCGTTGTTGATTTTCGCTCTAGGAAAGAAGGAGTGACCCTGGACCTGTACTCTCCGTACTCGTACAGTACTCGAGTACATACCGGTAGCATCACACCGTACGAGTATGCAGTAAAACAGGCATCGCCGAATTTTGCCGTCGCAAGGGATCATACATAAACACCAGTACCGGTAATTCACCTCCGGTTCAGTCATCATCACCTTGTCGCGATTGCCCACCCCGGTGATCACTACTTCCACAGCGCGCACTCCATTCACGCAGCAAAGCGGAGATACTCAATCTTAGGGAAGGGAAGTATTAACGAGGGAAAAAGAAAGAAGGGAAAAAGTTACTTAGCACTTCTCAGCCTTTCTCAGCCTTTCTCTTCCCTTCCCATCCAACACTCGAGTACCAGTACGGTGCTCGAGTACAGTATGTGGGTGGCACTCGTGCAGTATTCGTACAGTACATACTCGAGTATACATATCGCTACCATCAATTGGAAAGGTTCCACCCACGAAAAGGCGGATGGGGTATGAAAAAAGGAAAGAAAAAAAAAACGGGGCTATCTGCACGAGTACTTGCACGAGCACAAACCGGCACTCCTACAAGATCCTCACCTCTAAGCCCCCACCTTCCCAGCACACCTGGGCTAAAAGGATCCACCGTTTTTTGCCCAATGATCCTATTTTGGAAGCTAGAACGGATTCTGGCCGTCGCAAGTAGGCAATTAACCAACCAACCAACCAGGCAAAGATGGTGAGAGGTACTGTACATATGTATGCACGAACAGAATGTTGCATTTTACTCCTCAACGAAGAGAGAGGGAAAGAGACAGGACCGGAGCGCAGAACCCAGCCCTTGGCGCACAGTGAAAGGTTGGTCGGGGTTGAGAAGGACGGTTTGGCTGGATTAAACGTGATCGACCAGGGACCAAAGAAAAATGGGGCGAAGTTTCCCTCCAGAGTAAGCTTAGTCAGTATACATGGGTTTACCCTGCAAACTTTGTCGTCTCTCACCCTTCTTCTTTACCAGGTACCGGCATTCCCCGTCACTGGTCCACTGAAGAAGCATGCGGCCTCGTGCTCGCGTTGGTACTCGTACTTGTATCGAACCAAATCTCCAAAAATCCTTCCCCTTTCTCTCTGGCTGGGAAGGGAAATGTAAAGGCGGAAAGCAAAAGTGCACACATCTCAAGCGGAGAACGAAAGAGACTGAGGGCGGCACATGGCAGCCACCAGATGTCAACTGAGACATCGCGGGCGGCTATTTGGGGATGACATAAGAAAAGCAAAGGAAGTGAAGATTGTGGAAAAAAGAAAAGCAGTTGGAAAAAGTGGGGAAGAGAGATGAAAATCTACCGATGCATCAGGGACACAAGGAGCAAATATTATGAAGGAAAGGGGAATGTTTTTTCCTTCTTCTTCGGTTGGCTGTTTGCAGCTGTAGGAAAAATGGGAGGGGGGATGCTACTTGTATATGCCAAGATAAGCCTTCTCGTGATGGGCCCTTCCCTTCGTCTTCGACGAATAGGCTTCGTTAAAGCCATTACTCGTACAGTACGATACGGGGACAAGATATCACATCACACATTCACACTGTACTCGAGTATAAGTAGCACAAACACACATACAATAATGATACGGTATCGGCTGTGTGCTTGCACCTTCCGGGCAAGGACTTCTCTCCTCAGCATTTCTCGTATGGTACGGTATTACATCGGACTCCTCGCCTCACCTCACCCTAACCAAGGTCAGGTGAGCATGAGAATTTCGCGAACTTGATTCGAGCACTGTACTAGTACAGGAACCCCTCACTTTGCCCACTCGGGCAGCAAAACCCCCACAAGGGGGCACCACCGGTCCTGCAGCCCAACAGCGGTTGATTTTTCCCGGGGCCGCAGACATCAGACTAGATCTCCGCGTGGGCTGCACTCCCGGTAGCACTCGTATAGTGTAATACTGTATAGCAACCCCCGAATTCCTGAAAACGCGACAAACGCACAAAGAACCAAAAAGGAAAACTCGCCGCTCGAGACTCAGGAGAAAAAGTGAAGACGGCCCAAGATAGCATGCGATATGGAGCAAAGGATCTGGATAACCCCCACTATCCATAGTTATTTTGGCAAGCTAGCTCACATCGTTAGTCATCTTCGCCTATGCTTGTTCCCACCAATACTCGCACCAGTACTGTACGGCACCTCTATCCTGAGCAGCTCCGCGCGTGGAAGGGAGTCCTGGTCGTGCCGGTACTCAAGTACAGGTACATACCATATCATAGTACTCGCACGGTGGGGAGGCTGCCCTACGATACCATGGGAGAAGACAGATGGGGCTAACCCTGGTTGTGAATTATTACCTGCAGCCGGTATGATACAGTACCGGTACTCGAGCGTGGTGTGCGAGAAGGTGAAAAGGGTGACCTCATCACCCCTGTTCACACCATCGAAGTCCATTCCCACACGCAGATCAGAACTCGAATCCCCAATTTTTACCGATTCTGTGGCTTCCAGGATAGATGGTTGTGTGATCGTGCCCAGGTCTATTCTTACGAGTGGATGCCGCGATTCTGCTTTTCCACGTGTCCAAAGGGTATCACAGCATCATATCGCGGGTAAGATGCTTTGAACAATTTACCGTACCGGTATTGCGAGACCTAGGGATACTGTGGTGCGTGCTCTCAGGTATGGCATCTTGGAGAGTATCTCAATTCTCTGCGGATGGGATGTGCCACAGCGCTTAGAATATCTCTGACGGTGCTGTAGCATTTAAGCTTATCACAATGTTGGAAGCCAAGAGGACTATGATTGTAAGAGTGGGAAGAAGAAACGAACTCCTACCAACAAACCGCACACACACCAACCCGGTTCCTAGTTCCAAGTTAAATTACTGGTTACTATGCTCGCACTCTGTATCATCCTGTGCTGTCCGGCACGGTACTCGGGTACCTAAAGGTGCTCAGCCGTGAGCTTCTCAACACAGGCTGGATGCCATGCGTTGCTGGGGGAGAGGGGATACTAGTAACTCAAGTAAAATCCCACAGTCTTACACGGTCCGGTATCCAATGAGGATGCACCTGGTGCAGTACTCGAGTACAGTAACTACTCGTATAGATCTTAATTAGTTCATCACTTTTTGCACTTTCTTTTTCCCTTCAAGACAACTTTTGCTTTTGGAAGAGGTGACAAGGCGCTTGAGAGTGAGTACTCGACGAATGAAGTACCCGTACAGTACGGTACCAATACTGTACCGTATTGCCATCTTTACTTTTTTGGGACGATAATCCTGGGCTGCCGTTGCTTTCACTTGTTGGAAAACCTATCCACTCACCGCATTCCCCTGGCCTTTCACGCAGGGGTAATTCGCTTCCCGTCCAAGCTTCTCGCTTGGACTACTCGCAAGAAGAGCGTGGGATCCATCCCCCCATGCATGCGGGGGTTTGGATATCAAGAGACTCTCCTGTGGTGAGTGAAGTGAAGGAGAGGTTGATTGGGGTGGGTGTCACTCCTTGTACAGCCTACAGCCCCGCGGCATCCTTTTCCCTCGCTACGACTTGTATCACGCTACCGGTATGGTAGCACTACCGAGCCCCGACTCTTGCTACCGGTACTCCCTAGTTAAAGTGATAAGAACTCCCGCTATCCCATCAGCCCTCTTTTCTATTATCCGTGCGAATGTGCGTATGTGAGGGAAAACGAGAGGAAATGCTCTAAGGAGCCTGGGCTATATTACGACATTTTTCTTCTTTTCCCTGTTAACCTACCCGGTACGGCTTTATTAAAAGGGTAGAAGGCGCCCGTCACCACCTATTCCCTCGAATAGACCAGTCCCTTCCTCCAAATTTTCAGCATGGCTGCCCCGACTGTCGTGAAGGATGTGCTAAACCCAGCGCTCTACAACAACGACGACATCGAGGTACAATTTTACCAGCAGCGCAAGGAATGGCCATGGACGAGGGGGGGAGTGCATGCATTGGCTTGGGTCTTGTTCGCCGGCGGGCTGGTCCTGATATTTGGGCTACTCAACCTTCGCGATATTCTGTTGGATAGGCGACGATTGGGATACACTTTAGCGAATAATAACAAGCACAGGGTACTATCCAGTCAGCGGTCACTGTTCGACCGAATGTCGCTGCACTTCCGCGCCTTTTGTTACCTCCGCAGTTCGTTAACTGGCCTCGCAACAACATCACTGGGTCTGGGTATCCTCATCTTGGCCGGGTTCCTGTACCCCCTTCTGTATGTATTCTCTCAGCATCCCTATTACGAGCGGGAGCCGAGATTCGGGCCTCCTCCGCTCGCAGGCAGAAGCGGGATGATGGCCCTTGCCATGACGCCGTTCATCATCCTTCTTGGGATGAAGGCAAATTTGATCAGTATGGTGACGGGCATGGGACATGAGAAGCTGAATGTTTTGCATCGGTGGTTGGGATTCGTCTGCGGTTTCTTCAGTCTGGTCCACTCGGTGCCGTACATTATTGAGCCGTTGAAGAATGGTGGGTGGGGCAAACTAACTGAGCTTTTCAACGGCAATGTAACCTACTGGAACGGGGTTGGGGCACTTGTATGCATGTTTTGGTTGACTTTTGGTTCTTTGAACTTTATAAGGCATGCTTCCTTCCCCCGGTAACGCTTACCGTACTCGATACTAATTGGATGTAGGGCGTGGTGTTATGAGGCTTTCGTTCATTTGCATATTATTTTGGGAGTGGGATACGTGGGGTTAATGTTCTGGCATTGCGCCAACGTGCTGACTTCGGTACGCATCACCCCCATCGCTAGGGCTCCAAAGCGCGCTAACACGTCGTTTCAGTGGCATTATCTCTACGCTACGTGTGTCGTCTGGGTCTTGCATCTATTATACAGGTTCATCTGGAGGACCAACTGGTTTGGTCCTCGCTTATTCTCCGGCGACCAAGCGCACTTCACACCCCTCACGGATGACGGTGTGAAGATAACCGTGCCAACCCGCATGCGATGGCAGGCTGGGCAACATATCTTTATCCGAATCCCCAGCATCTCGCTGCTTGATAATCATCCATTTACCGTGGCTTCCATCATGTCTAATGATGCTAAGGATTGCGGATATAACGATCTGGTCTTGGTGTTCAAGCCACATAAGGGCTTCACGCGACGTGTATTTGACATCTCCAGGACTCGCCCCGACGTCTCCTATCGGGCGTATCTGGATGGACCCTACGGTGGATTGTCACGTAAGCTGGAAGCGTTCGAAACGGTGCTCATGGTAGCCGGTGGCTCGGGGATCACCCCAATCGTGGCCCATCTTCAACACTTAGCATCCAAGATCCATAAGGGCGAGGCCTTAACAAGGGATATCAGAATAATTTGGACGGTCAAGCGCTTTCGTATGTGCCACACTTTACAAAGCTTCGGATGGAACATCTTGCTGATACAATCTAGAATCCCTCGAATGGTTCAAAGATGAAATCTCCGCCGCTGCCAGAGGCCTTCCAAGAAACATGTTACTTTGTCAGTACTACGTAACCGAGGAAACTGCCATCGAACTTCCCAAGGGTCCCGTCTCCGCAACCCGAGAATGGCCACAGAGTCCCATAACCCCGACCTTCCGCCAACCACCACAGGCATTCCTTCGCCCACCCGGAACTTCCGAGGCGGAGAAGGAGTTCCAACTCCAGATCGTAGAGAAGGATGTTGGTTCTTCCTCTGACGACGAATTACATGAGTTCCCCTTCCCCGCTGCTCGGTCGGTTACTCCCATTCCGCCTATGGGAGATGAGGTGCTGTTGGAGTTTGGAAGGCCACCGTTGAGGGATGGGTTACCACCTTGGTCGGAGACGTTTGGAAGGAGGACTTGCATTTATGGTATGCCCCTTGACCCCTCCGCACTTGAAGAATCATAATTAACGAAGGCAGTGTGTGGTCCGCAATCCATGAAGGTTGATGTTGCAAATGCGGTTGCAGACATGCAATCTGATATCTGGGCTTGTGAAGAGCGGGAAGAGATTTACTTGCATTCCGAGACCTTCGGGTGGTAGACCTGTTCGCAGCCCGCTGGTGTTCGCTGCTCAGCTGGGCTGAAATCACTCGCTTCTTTCACCTCAATCTCAATTATCCCCCAGTGAAGAAACCTTCACGCACACAACCAGACACACACGCACCAGTCTTTCCTTATCTTTTATTTTTATTGAATTTTTCTTCCGCTCGCTTCAACTTGGCTTGACCTTCCCTACCTACCTACCTCTCCGTGGGCCAGGACCGACGGAGTCAAGCAAGTTTTTTTTTTCGCAATTTTCTGGATTATGGATACACGATCCTTACTTTAGTAGCTTTAATTAACGGATGGACGTTACTTCTTGTGCCACAAAAAAGTAGCCTTCCCTCTCGCATCTTGTCTAGATGTACTTTTTCTTTTATTGTTTCCTTATTGTTTCATATGGGTACTGGAACATGGCATTGTGAATCGGTGTGAGGTATGGTTCTTTGGGAGTTTTCTTTCTTTTTAATCCGATCGTGGGTTGGTGCGAGTGTATATATGGAACCTGGTGCCCTGTGAATATAGTAACTATGATATAGATGCTTTTTACTACTCTCAAATAAAGTTTTTATCTTCTATCTTAACCCTCATCTCATCATCCCCCATCGTGGGCGGGATGTTGAGATGGTAACAATAATAAGGGGGAGTCCAAGCTATTTCTGCCATCCAAAGGAGGGGAAATCTACCTCCAGGAGGGTGCACAGAAGCATCAGAAATGTTGACTGGTTGGATAGTTGGTTGTTGGTCCATACAAAACCGTAATAAAAAAAAAGCAAAAAAAGCAGGGATCATTGCCGGAGGAGGCCTCCCTAATTGAGACACACGGGTTCTCATCCCATTATGGCAGGAGACATTCTCCTTCGCATCCAACTATCTGTCGTGCGAGTTTGGATAATCTAGCGTCATCGGTTCATGGGAAAGGGGATAAGAGATTTCAAATTGTGGTACAGTACTCGCACTGGCGGGTGAGATTATGCGTAGACTGCTGGGACCCCGGCGGCGCTCCATCGTTAAAAATCTAGGTTGGGGTAAGGATAAGTTAAGAATTGCCGTTACCCAAACCTAGGCGAGGGGTTAGGACGACCAAAACCAGACCCCGGGGTTAGAACGGGATAGTCTGGGATATCCCTTTGTGGGGCTCCCTGTTTTCACTTTTCAGTTTATCTTTCCGAAACCCCTGCATCACTGATATCTTTTCCCGAGGTTCACTGGGCCTTTACGGCAGTTCCATGGCTATCATTCATCCTGGCCGAACCCTTCTCCGGCGATATGATGTGCGCGATACAGTACTCGTACAGGTAGAGCGGAATCTCGCCACCAGATCTACGGAGTAGGAGATGAGGTATCATCTAGTAGGCTGATTGTTTCGCGCAGGGAGGGGGAGAGGGATTTTGCGAGTTTTCAAGGAGCTAGGGGGGACACGAACGTTTCGGTAATATGATGCCGGTACTATTAATTTGATTAGAAGGCATTGGTTCGACTTGAGTTGGGTTACTCGAGTGTTCCTACAGCGGTCGGACGGGCATGTGGGTGTTGGATTCCCACGCTCTTGATGGACAAGGAGACCGCACTTAGAGTGAAGCCTTTGACCCCGGGGCGACACTGAGTCGCGGCAACCGGTGGTTGCAGTTATGCTCGAGCACTGTACGAATAGATTACTCGGGAACCCTAAGATTCATCCATAGTGCGATGCTCACCCAGACCTCGTCAGCCCCCGCATAAACAGTCCCCCCCCAAAAATTTGAACATACGGTATCTCCTCGACAAACACACCGTACGAGCACAAGTATACCAGACCCCTTCCCTTTTCTTATAAAAATTCCCCCACTCGGGGCAGCTGGAGTAGATTATCGGGGTGCGGATTCCCCCGACAGAGTTGGTGGACAGGTAATGTTACGAGTAGTTTAGATTAGCCTACGAAATGATCCCTGTCTTTGGAGAAGGCATCTTCCCTGGCACTTTGTACCGTACAACCTCTTGGCCTCTCCCAGACCACAGCATCACGAGTGATTTCCCGATCCATCCCGGTATCATCATCGATGGCAATAAAGGGGAAATCTCGTGATTATGGCATAATAGCCTCTCCAATCACTCCCACGCTACTCGTTTCGAGACATTACGCCACAGTGCTGTGCCAATACTTGCACTCCCAGAACAGGGGCAAGGCCTCTGCCACCACACCCCGTGATTGGGCTCGGACGAAACGGCCAATAGGATCAACGTACGGTCCTGCTGCCCCCGCCCCTTAAAACGCTGCGGCAGGGCTAAGAGGGTATCATACAAAATGGCTGTCCAGATAATTTGTCCCCCAACCACTCATTATCGCTTCGGCATGTTTCGCCCCCAAATGGAGCTACTCGAGCAACTGTCTGAGGTAGCACAGTGAAGGGGCTTGTTCAGCGGTCACCGGCACTTAAACCTGGGGGTGGTTACACCGATTTCCATGCATCCACCCAACAAACGGTAAACCAGAAGCCCGTACTGGGCTGTAACTGTCGTCTCACCGCATCGGCGAAGGCTTGAAAGTGCAACCCAAGCATTACCGGTAGTGTGCCGAACACTCACCCTACAAATATAGTACAGATGGGTGGGACTCTCCGTGCTGACGGCAGAAATCTCGGTCTGTCTAACGGTATCGGTAGGTGGGTCTCGGGATGTGGCTTACGTGTTGCTCACGGCAGCACTGCACCCCATATCTTCACCTTTACAACTGCACTCCCGAGCTGTGGCTCGGCACTCCGGGGAAAATTGACAACTCTGGTTTTGTGACATGTGGACCTCTGGTATCACTCCCGCCCTTGTGCATGGAAAAAAAATGAAAGAAAAATCTACCGGAGGAGAATACCGGTAAGCGATTAGGCGCAAGGCGATCATGTGCTTGTGGTCCTGATTCGCCTATTTTGTGTTCTTGCGCGCCGCGAAGTAGGTGGGAGGCGCGATTGGGGGAGGTGCTCCTGTGCATCCGGGGTTTCTGGATTGGGTTCCACGCATGGTTGGCTTGGGCCATTTATGGAGAGGGTGATCTGAAGGGGTGTTGCTCGAGGTGGGACGAGTGAGAGGTTGTGACCAAAGGGCGCAGTTGGGGGGAAAGAGGGTGATGGGATAAGGTTTGTGGATAAGGTTTGTGGAGAAGGATTTGGCGGAGGCGCTGCATTGGTGCCTCTTTTGAGGATTCCGGGGGGTCGTCTGGAGTCACCTTCCGCCCGTCGCGGGTGGAATTGGGATTCCACATGGCTTGAGTTGGCATCATGCTGGTACTCAGGTTCTGCAAATTAAAGGGTACCGGGTACCTGGAGCCTCTATTAACATGTATGTTTGCTCTTATGATAAAGATTTTTGAGTTTGGGATTTTGTTGGCTGGGTAGATTTAGGGGGTAAGTTACCCTAAGTTTAGGGAATATTGTGGATGCTGATGACGGGGACGTAGCTTTGAGGCTATCGCGAAGAGATCTCGAGATATACTCGGGTAGGGGAACGCGGATAAGCTCAACACCTAGCGCGTATATGAGTGTATCTAGTGGGTTGTAGCGTTGCGTGGCTGTCTTCTTAGACAATGACCTGGAACAAACCGTGCTATGGCGGTGGCTCCCCAACCCAACAGAAGCGCTGTATCTGCGGATATCTGAGATTACTGAGGGGAATTTTAGGCTAGAGCCTATGATACTGTGATAACATAGGCTATTGAGAAGGCCTCCAAGATTCAAGTTTAGCCGCACCCCCGGTTTGAGGGAAGGGCGACTTGGGCAGGGTGGGATAATCTACCCCGTACCAGGGGCACGGGAAATTGTGGGCTCTATGCCTAGATAGAATGAAAATGTACGGCGCGGTCGGGATACGCTTTGAAAGCGGTAGCTCGCGCTAAATGGGCTTCCGAAATGGGTATCGACATTTTTTTTGGTTCCGCGTGGGACTGTGGTTAGGTGGCCAGGTGGTTTGATACCCCCTATGGATGCGAACGGGGAAAAGATTTTGGACTACCCCGATGACTATGGTTGTTCTGTGGTGCCCCTGTTTCTTCGGAGAGTTCACGTCTTGTCAGTGGCTTGTTCATGCGGATTTCATGTACTTGACTTATGTCCGTGAGATTCGCCTTGTTTGAGATATCCCCTATTTGGGGATAATCCAAACTTATATGCGTCTTCCGTTGCTGCACCTTGGGTCGCCGCATGAACGGTTATGCAGAAGAGGGAAATTTCGGCGAGATATTTGGGCGGGAAGCTCGTGCAGCATTCAAACATATGGTAATAATCTCGATAGAGTGCTCGGTTGGCGTTGTGGGGAATTTCTGGGGGAGGATATTACAATATCTCGGCTAGCCACTAGTTGGTCGCTCGTGCTAGGGTGGTTTTAGTTGACTTGGTGCGTATGAGTTCTGATGAGGGAAATGCGCAGTGGGAAGTCAGGCTGGAACAGAAATTTTGGCCTTGAAGAATGTCCGAGATAATATTGAGAGAGAAATGATGGCCTGCACTTGTGCTCGTGAATAGTTATGGCGAGGCACCGCAAATTCCACAGGATACAAGTACGATAAGAAAACTTCATCTTTTGACCTGAACCGGAGTAAAGCAGTTGCATATAGTATAGCTTTCCTCCTCGTCCATATGGTATTGTTTTTGCGTTATCGGCGGAAGGGTTGCGCAGTCTGACCTACCCGTAGGTGGGAGTTAATAATATTGTTGCTAGGGGTTGCCACTCGCGTTAAGACCACATAAACCTCCGACCAATGTCGAGTTTCTTAAACTCTGTCATTTGAAGTAGTCGCGCGATCGCCAATTCTAATGTATGATATCCCGAAACCTCTCTCGTGCTCTAGGAGAACGGCCGTAGGATCATGTCCGATGCAGGCTTAAAATTGCAGTGGAAATCGGAATTTAGGGCTCAACCCTAGACCCGACCCCATGGGCCCTACACTTGGGCTAGGTCGGACCAAAGAACCAGGTCTCTATACTCTGTCATGTTAACCCCACCTAGGTCTCTCCTCACAAACCTTCCATTGCTAGCCATATGTCATATCCAGCAGGCTATGGGGCCCTTGCGGAGTAAGTTGGGTGAAGAAGAATGAAGTGAATCTGTGAGAGAGCTGTGGGGTAGTATTCTGAGCGAAAGGTTGTGACTGCATCAATGAGTGAGTTTATAAGTAGCAGTAACTATTTTCGGTGGCAGCTGTTGTAGATAATATCCAATTCTCAGAGATTTTGTGATCATGTGATTAGAGATTATGATTGAGGGCTAGGATCCCAATTTATGAGCTGAAAATGGGCACGTTATAGCAATGGTATAGGGTGGGGGTGATATTCTCGGTAGATGATAAGTGTATTCGTTATATTGGAGGAGAATCCTGGAATACTAAAATTGCTTCTTTAAAGTTTGGCACTTGGCGACATGTCTATGGGCAAGTTCTCAAGGAAGGGAAGAGTATGAATCTGAAAGCGACTATATGAGAACAGTGAAGATATATCCTAACCTTCTACTCCCATCCACCCACAAAAGAATAATCGCCACAAGCGGCTTATAGGTATACCGGCCACGGAGCCAGGATAGAAAGCCTTGCCAACCGGGTTTAATAAGAGAAGGAAA